TTCCATATTCAATTACCTGGTTTGTCATTGCCATTTCCAGTGATGAAATCGTTTGTGGCTGTGATGAAAACCTCTTTCATGAGTTGCCTTTTTGTTTGCCATCTTATGCATGTCATGAATTTTTTTGGGCATGTGATGAAAACCTCCATCCTAAGTTGCCCTTTTGTTTTGTCACCTTCTTATGCTTGTGATGAAGATTTTCATATCCATAACTTATGAGGGAGGTATTGGACACCAATTATTCTTACTTCTTGTTACTTTCCTACTAATATTACTATGCACTGTGCCTTTCTTACACTTTTCGTGTCCTTAAGATCCAACACCATGATCAAATGATGATAATGTTTTTCCCTGTGCCACTAAAACATGCATAAGTTTTAGAATTTCCTACAAGTTGCTTGTTTGTTATGTTAACATGTGGTGTCTGTGATGAAAATAGACTTACGTTTGCTATCTTCTTCTGGATATGATTAAGATTTACATATTATTCATTTATGATGAGGGATATGATATGATGATCAAACATCTTGTGAGGTACCTGGCATGGTAATTTTTCTCTTTGCTAATAAACTTGCTACCATGATGTGATGCTCCAAACTCATGATCATATGATGATTGATAAATTTCTTAGGTTTGTATGAAATTGGAACATTTCTATGCATGCAACATTCTCTCAACTTTTTGCTACCATCCTATGCCTATGCAGAAATGTAACATGTCCATAATGATGTTCTCATATCACCTGCTACCATCTCAAGTATCCATGTTTAATTAGATTTCATAATATAATAATCATTCTTGTTAAACTAAGTGGTCATGGTTTGGTATGTGGTTCATGTTGGGCGACAAACTGAGGCATTTTCTAGCTAGGATGTGTCCATGCTCTAGTTGTTGGCTACAATGGTGGTTGCTGCAAGAGATGTAGCACCATGGAGCGAGCAATGACCACATTTTATGGAGTTCCTAAAGAATAAGAGGATAATCTTGTTGTACCTGCACTGAAGACAATCAAGTCATATGTCAATGTTAAGGACCTCGTTATCTTAGTTCAGTAGTCATTGTGATCTTAGTTAATGCAAACTTATGTTGTAATATTTCCTATGAGAATCTTGGGTGTTCTTTACTAGCCAAATCATGGAGGTACCCATGCATGCAGGAAACCAAACAAAATAAGTTGCATCTGCTTCCATGTGTGGCCTGGTTCTACTGACACATGCAACCAAACAATTTGATGTTGCACACACTTGGGTTGCCCAAGTCTGGCCTAGCTAGGTGGTGTGAGCCAGGCCTGCTAGCCTACTATCCGTTGTGCACTCTAACAGAACCACTACTAATGTTTCCAAATAAAGAAGTACCACTGATATGTTGACAACACACAAAAAAGAAGTACCACTGATTTGCTGGCATGTCACACACGCATCTAGCAGCCGATGGCAAATATGTGGTGTTGGGCCCTTCGTGCCTGCGGATGGAGCTCAATATACCCTAGGAATATATATACGCAGGAGAAACACTAACCGACGTTCTCTCTCTCTCTCTCTCTCTCTCTCTCTCTCTCTCTCTAGGCGCCGATGCCCCTCTCCTAGACCCTCCCCTCTCAATGGCTCCCCTCCAAACGGCTCTCCTCCCAGTGGTTCCCCCTCCCGATGGCCCTTCAGTGGCGGCGCCTGTTCTTGTGGTGGCATAACTGCGTGATGGTGGGGGCTCGTGGACACCTAGATCCAACGAGCGTGGTGGCCCTACAACGGTGGCGCATGCACGCAGAACCAGCTACGCGCTGGCAAATCCGGTGAGCAGCGGCGACACGATGTCGATGGGATCGACGGGCCTTGTGGATGGGCTCAGCGAGCCCCATCCACAGGTTCGCTGTTTTTTAATTTATTAAGAGGAAATCTGGATTTACACAGGCGTAGAAGTGGAGGCGGACTGGCTGGCCGCCTCCGAAAATCATTTCTGGTTGTCTGCGAAATCTTCGACTATAGTAGTGTATGTTGTACTCCACCGTTTCGATGTGGGACTAAACCCAACAAATTCTAATTATGAATATATAGATGTACTTGTCCGTGCAAGTGTGTAACTATGGAACACCTCTTTGATTGTTTGTCTTCCCTTTTCTGCTAGAACGTGAATGTGACTGAACTTGAAGTTGGTTGTCTCTCGATACATTTGTACTCTCTTTATTTTAAATTATAAGTTATTCTCGTTTTTTTAATACATGGATTTTACTATATATCTAAACATAATAATATATATCTAGATGCATAATAAAAACTATATATCTATAAAAAAAACTAGATGTAATCTCAGTCAGTTAGGTATTACCTTGAGTAACTTGGCAACTTGGTTTGCTACTCTGCTCTTTCTAGGTAATGCATGCATCTAGCCATTCACGGATCCACCAGATGTTCAAAACACTTCGATGTGCCCCGAGGGCACGGCCGCCCGGGACGCATGGCAATTGGATTATTAGTTATTACCCTGTCGGGAGGCAGCACCAACGATGCCCGCTGGCTGGCGCTGGGGACGCACGCCACACGCGCGGTGGGGACTGGGCAGCGGGGAGATGCGCGTGTGGGAGTGGGCGGAAGCGAGCAAACAGTGAACAGGCTCGAGGGCGCGCGGCTGACTCGAGTAGTCGCGCCCTAGCCATGGGGTACGCCGTACGGTGCGCGTACATTGGAGCAGGCAGTTATCCGTGCCGCCGTGCTTCAAGAGAGAAGAGACCAGGGGCCGCGTTCTCGCGAGTCCTAGGGCTGAGCGGCTCCCGTCCTCGACTCGTCGCGCTCCCGGTACACGCGCGGGCGAGAACAGTGAACTTGCTTGGACAGTTGGACCATCGGCGTCGGCGAGCCAGACTGCCACTGCCAGTCGTCTACTCGTCCTCGTCGTTCTGCCTGCGCGACCGTGTGACTCTCTGAGTTTGGCAGCGCGGATGGCGTGAGCGGAGCGGCCTGCTGTTGCACGCGTGCGCGCAGCGGTCCGCGCCCGCGGCGACGGTGGGCCAACTCGTGAGTTGCAGATTGAGAGCCCGTGACGCCACACGTTGGGCAGTTCGCCTTGAAGGCTGCATTTTTAGGCCTGTGTCTGTGTGGAAAGGCCTCAGCCCAGCCGTCCCCCGGCTTTGCTTTAGTTTCGTACATGGGCCTTGGCTTGAGCAGATCGGCTGGAGCGATCTGAAAGTGGGCTGCTTGTCTGCTTCGATTTCAAAACTGACGATTTCTTCCTTTCCCTTTTTTTCTTCTATCTATCTATCTATCTATCTATCTATATCTATATATTATATATATACACCTAAAAAACTCTAAAGTCATCATCGACCTGATGATACCAAAAACATGTACTATCCGGTCACAAAGACTACCAAAAAAGACTGTACCAAATACATATACTATCCGACAAATACGTACACTATCTGGATTTATTTACTTGTCAAAATTGGCGAGGAATCATCCACAAAACCTCTACCGGCAGAACTGTGGGGTATAACCCAAGTACCCACGGTAAGGGACATGGGCCGCATGGTCACGGACAGTCCAGCTCACAGGATCAGGACTTGCAGCGCACGGCACTGGTCGACATACACCGCAAGATATCTAGAAGATATGATTTATTAGGACTCTTATAGATGTTGTAATCCAAATAAAATACCTATCATGTTGCCGACTAGAATATTTTTCTTGTAACCCTACCCCTCCAGAGTATATAAGGAGGGGCAGGGGTCCCCTAGTCGGCATGGTCATCCATTCTAGATATCTCAGTACAAACCAACAGAACACATGATATAGGGTTTTATATCATCTTGATAGCATGAATCTGTATAAATTTGATGTCTTGTGTCTCTGTTATCATCTAGTTCCTGATCACATGCACCTCTACCAAATAATCTATCATCATAGGTATACCCCTCGGTACACTATCAACGACGACATTTACTCGACACGAATGGAAAAAGAAACTCCGATAAAAAAAAGCTAGAACTACGATCGGACTGAACACCAGGACTGAATCTGAAAAGTACTTAGACAGGCCAGAAAATAAAAAAGGGAAAAATAACTCTAACGGCAAAGAACTACAGCCAGAATAAAATCCAATCGGACTGACCAGGACCATCACAGTACATTTGTTTAGACTAATCTATATTTGGCATTGACAGAACAAATATACTTCCCCTCATGTGTCTAGACTAACGTATATTTTATTTTTCAATTATTATGATTCAAAAAATACCTTTCATTCGTGTTTACTTGTAAAAAATGATTTACTTCAGCAAAACACCGGCCATCTATTTTATATACACTACTACTCTAATACCCACTTGGTAGTTATATATTTTATTTCAATGAACGGGCACGAACTTATACCTATTTTATTAATAAAGTAGGAAATTTACAATACATTTATAAAAACAAAGAACAAAGTAAAACTCCTCTCGCGGTAAAAGTATCGCTACCTATTTCACGCCTTCTGCAATCCATACTTGGTAGTTATAATATATGCATAAAAAAATTAATAACTAGATTGAAATGCAATTTTGATTGTAGTCATAAAAAGTCATGTAATTTGAGGCGGCATAGATCCAAAATGTCATGTATTAGTTCAAGTTACTCTAAGATGGAGGAAATAAAACTACATCAGAAGGTCGTAGAAGAATACAGTAATTTTTTTTATTTCCATTAACTTCTTGTTAGTCTCATACCTATAACATCAACATTTTGTTGGTCCTCATACCTTTAACATTGGTAGCATTTTAGATTCATACCTAATTTGACAGATTAACCTGATTTCTTGACAACGTAACAAAAAAAACTCCTCAATAACTTGATCGCTGAGGCAGTGTAACCGGTGGCACCAAAACCTTGCAAAAAAACCCCCTCAATTCTCTCTTATTTTACACCTGATTGTTAACCCGGTGCAACGCATGAGCATTATCCATCCACTTCTAGAAATATGAGTTGAGTGACTATTATAGAGAGGGACCTACTATACATATTGCATTACTGTCACATGGCAGTGCCAGTGTCTGCCCACTCCCACCTCCAGCCGGCGTTCAGCTTCGGCAGCAGGAGCGGGACACCAACGCACTCCCTCTCCCTGCTTCGCCGCCGTCCTAGCATGCATCCGGAAGCGGCAGCAGAGGACCACCACCATCGTGGCGGTGTTCAAGAGCCCAACCAACAAGCAGCAGAAGCCGCGCGTGCGTGGAGGCACGGACGACATCTTCGGCACGTCCGGCAGCAGATCTGTCATTTGTCTTTTCATAGAAAAAAAATTGTTTTTTGTGATTTGTAATTATCTGGAGGTAGAAAAAAGCTGAAGGCTGGAGGTAGAAGAAGAGTGGAGGCTGTTGGATCTTAATTCTATGGTGTAAAAAAATTCATGTGTTAAAACTACATAAAACACATGGTTGTTGAGTAGACAGACTCTATGCTAAATCCATTTAGTCTCCCACTCCTCAAATCCAAACAAGAGATAAGACATCCTCCTCCCGCTATTTCCTAGTGAATGTATCATTACTGTGAAACCCAATTTGTTATGGCTTAAAGAGATAGCAATAAAAGCAATAGGCTGTATCCTTGGCTACACTATACTCTAACCAATCAAATTGATCAAACAAATCCTCTTGCTTGACCTTTACCATTGACTTTTGTTTTTGGAAACTTATGACCAGTTGGCCTATATGGACCTTTCTGTAGATACGCTCTCCTAGCCTCATCCCTAATGCCATGATGAAACTCATCAATTGGCTTTCTATTACCTGGATCATCAACTATATCTCTCAAATCAAGTTCAATCCTCGGTCTTTTCTGTTCAAGCCGACTCTCTAGGTGGGCGCTAAATAATAGAGGGCAAATTTTTTTTTGCTCACTGTACACAGTAGACTAGTAGATATAGCAAATATTGATATCAATTCAAAGTGCTCAAAGATACATAGAACCATGACGAGAATAGAAAAGTACCAAATACAAAGAGCCTTCCATAATAAAAAAAATCCATGCCTGATGTCTTGTGTCTTCACGAATTCACACCACTTGAACCACCACGCTCAATGCTACATAATTTTTAAAATGTCATACTTCTTCATATATCAAGATAGCATTATAAAATGAAATTTACTAAAACAATACGCACCTCGGGCGCTCACGTGGCAAATTTATCTTTCGGTTTTTGAAACCTTGAAAGCGCTTCAAAATTTTATCATCTTCAACTGATGCAAACAAATCCCGCTCAATATAGCATATCATGCTATTATTCATCCATTCATCATTCATTTTATTCCTCCGTTCGGTCTTGATAATATTCATAGCGGAGAATGCTCTTTCAACTGTTGCTGTTGCCACTGGCAAAATCAATGCAAGTTCAATGAGACGATACACCAAAGAAAAATGTGTATGTCTATCGCTTTGAACCATCTTCTCAGCAAGGTTACCAAGATCAGTACATGTGCCAAAATCTCTATCATGTTTGACATCATCAATAAATACCAGGAGGTCACCCCTTAGCTTTTCACAATCATAATCACTGAAGTCATCTTTATAGATCTTAGCAAGCTCAACTAATTGCTCTATCTCAAAGTTAGCAAAAGAACCATTCGGATCAAGACAAGCAACACATCTCAAGAGTTGAGTTGATCTTTCTGGAAACCGATTGTTTAACTCACAAAGAATCTGATCAATCACAACAATGAAAATTCCATGATGAAAATGATGGTAGTGTGTCACTAATTTGGCACCACGGAATTTGGAACGACCTCTAACTGGTATCATATCTTCCATATTAGGAATGTCTATCTTCTTTTGGACACAAAAGCTTTTGACCTCTTCAAAAAGTTCATCCCAACCATTTTCCCTCATGGCATTCATATTTCTCATCACAGAACCAATCAATCCTATTGCACGAACAATGTTCTGATTTTTCCTTTGCAAACATTGTGATATTTCTTGAGTCAACCCCAATACTCTAATCATAAGATGTAATATGAACATAAATTCAAATGACTCTATTTTTGTTATTAATCCAGATGCAATAGTTTTCTTTTCCCCATCAGTTCCATCTTCACTAACATTCTCTAACACCTCAAGTACAGAACCCCACATGAGCATAAGACGTGCCAATGTTTTGTGATGTGTTCCCCACCGTATCACCGCACCTAGCAAGACTAGTTTCTTGATTTTTCCTCTCCTGAAAAAAATATCACCACTATCTAATTGCTTTGAACAAGATGGTCATGGTGATTTTGGAGGAGTTGATCTTTTCTTTTGCAAGAAACACTAACAATATTGACAATTGAAGTGACATAATTGAAGAAATCAAATGTTGAAGTACAACACTTGGCTGCGAAACTACCACAAGTTGCAATTGATGAGCAAAACAAAGGATGTAAAAGGCAAATGGGTTTTCATTCAATACCAGCCTTTGTAATCCATGAAACTGTCCTTTCATGTTTGAAGCTCCATCATATCCTTGTCCTCTAATCTTGGAAATAGATAGACCATACCTCCTAAGCATAGTATCCAATGCTTCCTTTAGTGAATGTGATGTGGTGTCAGAAACATGTTCAATGCCAAGAAACCTCTCAATGACATTTCCTTTATCATTGACAAACCTACAAGAGAAAAGAAAAAATATATTTATTGGAAAGAAAAATAAAATCAATGAAATACACAAATTAAGAGATGATATATACCTCACAACCACAACCATTTGTTCCTTAATAGATGCATCACGAGCCTCATCAACAAGCACCGCAAAAGCAACGATCTCCAATTTCATTTTTAATTAACTCACTTGTCTCCTCTCAAGCGCAAGCCCTAACCAAATCTTTTCGAACTATTGGGCAACTCATTTGATTATTGCTCGGAGCATTTTACCATCACAAGTGCAGCCTTCGGATCCTTCTTTCTGTACCATTCAAGCATCTCCCGAAAGTTCCCTTTGTTTTTTGATGTTTTAGACTCATCATGTCCACGAAAGGCTAGAGCTTGTAAAAGGAGAAATCTAGCAATGCCTAACATAATAGTTAAACGAGCTTTATATGCCTCTTCTTCTGCTGCGCTTGTCACAGTCCACACATGTTCAACACTTTGTCTCTGATTTTTGAAGTCAAGTGCACGCTTCATTGCATTACTGTGAAAGCCATCAACTGATTGAGCATGCTCCTCGAAAGAATCCTTTGCATTCTTCCAATTTCTGAACCCAACTCTAGTGAATGTATCATTACTGTGAAACCCAATTTGTTGTGGCTTAAAGAGATAGCAATAAAAGCAATAGGCTGTATCCTTGGCTACACTGTACTCTAACCAATCAAATTGATCAAACCATGATCCAACAAATCCTCTTGCTTGACCTTTACCATTGACTTTTGTTTTTGGAAACTTATGACCAGTTGGCCTATATGGACCTTTCTGTAGATACGCTCTCCTAGCCTCATCCCTAATGCCATGATGAAACTCATCAATTGGCTTTCTATTACCTGGATCATCAACTATATCTCTCAAATCAAGTTCAATCCTCGGTCTTTTCTGTTCAAGCCGACTCTCTAGGTGGGCGCTAAATAATAGAGGGCAAATTTTTTTTTGCTCACTGTACACAGTAGACTAGTAGATATAGCAAATATTGATATCAATTCAAAGTGCTCAAAGATACATAGAACCATGACGAGAATAGAAAAGTACCAAATACAAAGAGCCTTCCATAATAAAAAAAATCCATGCCTGATGTCTTGTGTCTTCACGAATTCACACCACTTGAACCACCACGCTCAATGCTACAGAATTTTTAAAATGTCATACTTCTTCATATATCAAGATAGCATTATAAAATGAAATTTACTAAAACAATACGCACCTCGGGCGCTCACGTGGCAAATTTATCTTTCGGTTTTTGAAACCTTAAAAGCGCTTCAAAATTTTATCATCTTCAACTGATGCAAACAAATCCCGCTCAATATAGCATATCATGCTATTATTCATCTGTTGATGCAAAAGTGGATCTGCAAACACAAAGGGCTAATACCCGAATCGATATCCAAAGCGTGCCAGTCGATTTGACCTATTAATCGACAAGGATGAAGATACGAGCACTTTCCATCGATCACCACCATTCATCGGCAACCATCTTTACAAGCTGATTTTCATCGGCTGTCAGCGTATACAGTAACTTTCCTCCTGCTGATTAGCCCACTCTCATCATTTTGACACGTGCAAAAAACGGTCTCAACACATGCCCCCCCAATTTTGGAGTATAAAACCATTAATGCTCCGAAATTTACTCCAGATAACGTTTGCCTTCGCCTAATTACCGTAACTCATCCTCCAAGCCAAAACTTGATCTGTTATCAAATCTAATCAAATCTAGTCCTGATTCACGCACCTCAGTAAATATCGCACAATTTCCAACCACTCTTGCCCTGATTATGGTTAAGATACCGAAACAATAATCCATCGGCAAGATCCTAACATAATAATGCCGCCATTTTCAGAATTAAAATATCCTGTACCGAGATCTCTTCCAAGTCATGATTACTTGCCATCAAATCATCTATACAATCCCTTGATTATCGTGCGAAGCTACTATATCCATCCGAACCACCTCGACCCACATGCGCGCGGCATAGAGATAAGTCCGTAATACCCCTACTCCAAGCGGCTTATAAATAGATTTCTCCTAACGCTCGTCTTCTATCCTCGACTCCAATCTTTGGCATTCTCTCTTTCCGACGGGCGACTACGACGAACAACTGCTGCGACCTCAACCAACAAGAACTTTTCTCCAAATACAACCTCGAGTCTCCACTGTGCCCCCATCTACCTCAAGATAATGGCAATCAACTTCGACGTCCCCTGTGGTTCGCTCCACTTCCGCTACTTTTTACCTCGATTCCTCCGGTCTTTGCGAGTTCATACAGCTTGGTAATTTTTCTCTTTTCTTTGTTCTTCTGGATCCTCTAAACTTAGGAACTTCGCAACAAATTAGTTATTCCAACCGATCCGCCGCATTTCCAATGCCTAGGACCAATGGGCAACCCAGATCCAACTGATCTGATTAATGCAGAGGTTAACAGAATCCCTTTTAGAGCCCAAAATTTCTCTCTGAATTTATGGAAAGATACATTCCGATCTTGGCCCAAAACCACCAAAGGGTGGAAAGATTGGTACTTGAGGGTCAACAGGTCGATGCAAGTACACTGGGCAGAACGGAAGCTAGACCAATGCATTAGGCTATCCATTGCCGATATGCAAAAGAACGAGTCAATGATGATTGCAGCTGCTTACTTCTGGTCAGACACAACAAACACTTTTATGTTTGGACATGGCCCAGCTACTCCCACACTTGTCGATGTCTACATGCTCACTGGCTTGGACATTTCAACTGCCGATGAAGGCTCCATCTATGACAGAAAATCTGAATATAGGGTGAATACCCGCAACATCGGCGGTTGGATGGGATATATTCAAGAATGCCAGAGGACCAGGACAGTTAACCAGACGGAACATGCCACATTCTTGAATATGTGGTTAGAAAAATTTATCTTCTGTGGTCGATCAGTAGGACCAACCAACGCCTTCCTCCCCGCGGCTGAACTCTTGGCCAATGGTGTAAGGTTCCCTCTTAGCCGATACCTTCTGAGCTCCACTTATCATCTTCTTCATCAAGTGTCTCAGAAACTTTTGCTTGGCGAACCCATCGGCAACTTAGGAGGCCCGTGGTGGTTTATCAACATGTGGCTGAATGCCCATATGCACAAACGTCTGCAATGTGACTTCTTTGCCCAACAATTCCCACGAGAAATTGTTGAAGACCACGTGCTTGGGGATGAGGAATCGGCAACACGCTCACCCCTCAATTTTGGTGAAGCCATAATTGTCCTCCCTGGAACAGAGGCAATGAAGACCAGATCGGCAGATTCTTTCAAAGCTTCTACAATGGTCTTTCTCGTGATCATAGGGCCTAGGTACCTTATATTGACGAAGAAAACAGATTCCCCCTTCTTTTCAACTTTGCCGATGACACTCTGAATCAAGATAATGAACTCATGATGGCCATCATTACTCCCAGGGCAATCCCAGTAAACACATTCGGTAGCGGGAAAAACACCAATATCATGTATGAATTTTACAATCCATCGGCAGTATCCCATCAATTGGCTTTTGGGCAACTGCCAATCAAACTTTGTTTTGCCGATGTGATCAAACCCAGAGAAACAATCACCTGCGAATGATTGGAGCAGGTAGTGCGACTCTCCTCCGATGCCGATACTACGATGTCGATATATCCATCTAGACGCCAAAGATCTTTCATCACCGAATCATATAAGCAATGGTGGTGAGAGTGGAGGAACAACTGCTTGCAACATCTGCTCACACATATCGGCACATGATCGACCTCGAATACGCCATTCCCGGCGACGCAGAAGTTTCTTTTAACTCCCTTCGCTTTTCCTTTCATATATCGGTAACTAACTTTCTCGTGATAAAGTTAACAACCCAAAGACCATCTATGAGCAAAAGTGGAAACCCTTCGATCTTCGACTGTTTCCCGATATCACCGATCGGCTTACAACGCCCCACCTTAGCCGCTTTGACTCACCGTAAGACCCGCGTACCAAGACCATCGCCTAAGTCCAAATTGGCTACAGCTTAGGGCCACCCATTGGTCTTTGCTACAACCCCGATCAAGGCATTCAAGGTAACAACCCTGCTTATTTCTACTCATGCCGATCACAAACCGTATTAACATTAATCATCGAGGTGTAAGAGCCATCGCCGGATCATCATCGGCAATTCCTCGGACATCAAGCACCACTACCTCGACAAACCTTCGAGGTATTCCTTTGATTTTACATTTTATCTGTTAAATATCATACCTTACACTTGTTTTGCAAAGAACAAATGGGTACATCGGCAAGCGTATTTCGGATGTTCAAGCTCCACAACCAACAAGTGCCGATGCCCCCACCAACCGTTCTGCCGAGGCCCAAGCAAAGCGCAAAAAGCCTTAACAGATGCTTTGAGGCACGCCCAAAACGATGTAAGTCCATGCCGATCCCCACATCTCGCCCTAACGCTCCGCAAGCCGCGAGAATCGGTCGATGCAACAGAGCAAGCGCTTAATCCTCCCAGACAGACATACCATCGGTCATCATACCCCAAGGGCCAACCACCAATGAGGCCATAGAGGATATCCCATCGGCAAGCTCACCGATCCTCTACACGGCATACTCCAGTCGCTTCCTCCACCAAGTACACAGAAATTGCCTTGAAACAGTAAGCCGATTGACCTAGTCGATTTATAATATTCATACTTATCCTTAATGACCTCTTTTTTTTTTTTCTCAGAACAAGACTCCCCAAACAGCCTATTTTCCTTTGCCATTGACGCTTTCGACGATGATGGAGAGGAAACAAGTTCTTCCTTTGCACTCGTGAACAATATCGGCGAGAAATTAAGTCCAAGTTGGAAGCTCTCCGGACTTGTTACAAGAGGATACCGCCTAACCGGTAGATAACTCGGACCCCGCAAAGGCAATTTTTAAAACAATCCGTGGTCGTCCCCGCCGATGTTGAAGAAGCACTCTTCCAAGCAGACCCATTTAGAAAGCCGCCAACCGCAATATCAATGGTCTGCTCAACGCGATTGCCGATAGAGCAGACTCAGGCTCAACTCAAAGAAGAGATGCTACACCTGAAACAGATTGCCGATGA